CCCTGACAGTCACTAAGCTCCACCTGGTGACATCACCACCCTGACAGTCACTCCACCCCGTGATGTCACCACCCTGACAGACGCTAAGCTCCACCCGGTGATGTCACCACCCTGACAGACGCTAAGCTACAGGAAAATATTTGTGAATTCTCTAAAAGTTATGAGAACAAAAGTCTTGTGAATGAGCCGAAGGTTTTGATAGATGAACAGCTAAAACAGCTCAACATCAGCAGAAGCAGTCAGATGGCAGGAACAGGAAAACGCTGACAAGTCATCAAACATTAATCTGACATCTGTTTCGTTCAGGCGTCGTCGGCCAACGGACAGGTCCTCGGCGAAACTCGGAAGCAGCTGAAAGAGGAAACGTCTCTTCGACAGGTGCGTTTGTGTTCCTGGCCCGGTTCTGATGGGACCGGGCTTTGGGTTAAAGAAGGCTGGTCTCTGCAGGACGTGGAGCGGGAGCTGGAGGTGCAGATCGGCATGAGGCAGGAGATGGAGCTGTCCATGAAGATGTTGGAGAAGGACGTGTGTGAGAAGCAGGACAGTCTGGTGGAGCTGAGGCAGCAGCTGGAGGACCTGAGGACCATCAACCAGCAGCTGAGCCACAAGTCACAGGTCAACAACAACAATCATCAAAGGGTTCTTGTTTACGTCAGTTTAACTAAGAAAGATCATCTTGGAAAATGAACAGCCACTGCTGAACGGAGGGCAACCATGTCTTTGTCCCTGTCTGCGTGGGTGTATCTACATGTGCGCTTGTCTGTCTGTTAGCAAAATATCTGTTGAACCAGCAGACAATTGTTAATGTAATATAATAATAATAATAATAATAATATAATAAACTTTATTTCTATAGCACCTTCTAACAACACCTTGCATTGACCAAGGTGCTTTACAAGATAAAACAAATTAAAACACAGCCAGAATAAAAGAAGGTAAAAAAGATCAAAAATACTACAATACTAAAAGTTAAACATTAAAAGCCCTTTTAAATAAGTATGTTTTCAGTTTGGCTTTGAACAGAACCAGATCAGAGATGGAACGCAGCTCATGGGGAAGAGTATTCCAGGCTGTTGGACCTGCAACAGAAAAGGACCGGTCCCCCCATGGTTTGCACCTTGAGCAAGGCACCTCCAGCAGATACTGACCAGCAGACCGTAAAGCTCTGCTGGGCTGGTGGACTTTCAAAAGTTCTGAAATATAAGGAGGTGCGAGGCCATTCAAAGCTTTAGAAACAAACAGCAGCAGCTTGAACTGTGTTCTAAACTGAACTGGGAACCAGTGCAAAGAAGAAAGGACAGGAGTGATGTGTTCATGTTTACGTGTGTGAGTCAACAAGCAGCAGAGTTTTGTACAAGCTGTAAACAGGAGATAGAAGATTGATTAATACCCACATATAAGGAGTTACAGGAATCAAGCCTAGAGCTCACAGAGGCATGGATGGGGATAACTATTATTGTCTGTTTGTCTACAGCTCAAAGATGGCTGCCACAGTCTCCTAACCCGTCAGAGATTCTTTATTGTTGTTCCAACTCATGTGGTACATGAGGTGGAACAACAATATGTTCACAGGGCCCCAGTTACATCCAACAATAAAGTATAAAAGAAAAACAGTAATAACATCTAAGATATGAACTAAGATGAACATCAACTAAATATACACTAAGCACTCATAACATAAAAACATTATGTTGAACAGCAGCACGAACATGAGTCTGTGTGAGCAGATGAGCATGAACACATCAACATGAAACAGATCAGCAGCAACATGGAACAGATCAGCAGCAACATGAAACTGATCAGGAGCAACATGAAACAGATCAGGATCAACATGAAACAGATCAGGAGCAACATGAACAGATCAGCAGCAACATGGAACAGATCAGCAGCAACATGAAACACATCAGCAGCAACATGAAACACATCAGGAGCAACATGAAACAGATCAGGAGCAACATGAAACAGATCAGGAACAACATGGAACAGATCAGGAGCAACATGGAACAGATCAGGAGCAACATGGATCAGATCAGGAGCAACTTGAAACAGATCAGGAGCAACATGAAACTGATCAGCAACAACATGAAACTGATCAGGAGCAACATGAAACTGATCAGGAGCAACATGAAACTGATCAGGAGCAACATGAAACTGATCAGGAGCAACATGAAACTGATCAGGAGCAACATGAAACAGATCAGGAGCAACATGAACAGATCAGGAGCAACATGGAACAGATCAGCAGCAACATGAAACACATCAGGAGCAACTTGAAACAGATCAGGAGCAACATGAAACAGATCAGGAGCAACATGGAACAGATCAGGAGCAACATGGAACAGATCAGGAGCAACATGGAACAGATCAGGAGCAACATGAAACAGATCAGGAGCAACATG